AAAGATTTCCAAACACTTTAAAAGAGGCCAGGCGTGATGGCTCATGCCTGTAATCCTAACACGTGGGGAGGCTGAGGCGGGAGGATTCCTTGAGCCCAGGAGTTCAAAACCAACCTGGGAAAGATGATGAGACCTCATCTCTACACAAAAATGTTAGCTGGCCATGGTAATCCATGCCTGTAGTCCCAGCTACTCAGGAGGCTGAGGTGGGAAGACCCAGTAAGCCTGGAAGATTGAAGCTGCAGTGAGTTGTGATCACACCACTGTGCCCCAGAGCCTGGGGAACAGAGCAAGACCCTATCTCAAAAAAAAAAGGAAACAAAAAGAAGAAAAAAGTCACCTACCGTAAGTGTTTTAGGTTGCAGTCTGGATTCTCTAACGCCTGACAGAGAATCCACAATCCACAGCCTATGTGGTTGAAGCTCAGGTCCAAGTCTGTGAGGTTGCAGGCTCCTTGGAGAACCTCCGAGAGCGCTCTGCAGCCATGTTTGGTTATGTTGCATTGCTGTAACCTGCAGGATAATCAAATGAAGAGGAGCCTGTTATCCCTCTGGCTTATGTCCCGTGAAGTAGTTGTTACTCCCAACACCATATCTTCTGCCTTGAGCTACATACTTCCAGGCGGGCGTGTACAAAAACCATGTGAATGGGCCAGGCGCGGTGGCTCATGCCTGTAATCCCAGCACTGTGGGAGGCAGAGAGGGGCAGAGATCACTTGAGGTCAGTAGTTCAAGACCAGCCTGGACAACATGGTGAAACCCTGTCTCTACCAAAAATACAAAAATGAGCTGGGCATGGCGACGAGCACCTGTAATCACAGCTACTCAGGAGGCTGAGGCAGAAGAATTGCCTGAACCCAGGAGGGGGAGGTTGCAGTGAGTGGAGATCGCACCATTGCACTCCATCCTGGTGACAGAGGGAGACTCCATCTCACAAAGAAAGCATGCAAATGGCCTTCTGATTACATCATTTCCAACTCTGCCTAGGACAGCAGCTTAGGCTCTGGGTTCAGAGGAACCCAGGACTGGATCTGAGGCCTGGAAATTTCACTTCACTGTCATTTTATTTCATGTTTAGGTTTTGTCTTTAAATGACACATTCTATATATTTCGGGGCACAGTGTGACGTTTCGGTGCATGTATCATGTATTACCTGATAATTATATAATTATCAGGTAAGTGACTTTTTCTTTTTGCTGTTTAACAATACTCTAAGCAGGGCATGGTGGCTTATGCCTGTAATCCCAGCACTTTGGGTGGCTGAGGCAGGCAGATCACATAAGGTCAGGAGTTTGAGACCAGCCTGGCCATTATGGTCAAATTCCATCTCTACTAAAGTACAAAAATTAGCTGGGTGTGGCGGCAGGTACCTAGAATCCCGGCTACTTGGGAGGCTGAGGCAGGAGAATCACTTGAACCCAGGTGGTGGAGGTTGCAATGGGCCAAGATAGCACTACTGCATTCCAGCCTGGCAACAGAGCGAGACTGTCTTAAAAAAAGAATCTCAGAAATGAATACCAGCTAGAATTTCTGAACAGAAATAGGTCTTCAACGCCATGCAATCTCTTGAATGTTGTTCTAACCATGATTTTAATGTGAACAGGTAACGCACACTGAGCTGCTTCCCACATTACAAGATTCAGCCAGCAACAATTGATGGGCCAATTCCAGCCTGAAACCTGTGTTTTTCTTCTTCAGGTGGAACCTCACTGAATCGCCAGGCTGGAGTGCAGTGGTGCGATCTCAGCTCCCTGCAACCTCTGCCTCCCAGATTAAGTGATTCTCCTGCCTCAGCCTCCCAAGTAGCTGGGACTACAGGCTTGCCCCACCACGCCAGGCTAATTTTTATATTTTTAGTAGAGACGGAGTTTCACCACGTTGGCCAGGCTGGTCTCAAACTCCTTGACCTTAGGTGATCTGCCCACGGTTCGCCACCTGTTCTCCAATAACAGATGCAAATAAAAATGTTTTAAAAAGATGTCACTGGCCCTATCACATAACTCAGTCTACCTCTGATAGCAGGCAGTACTGTCATGTGAAGTTGAAAGAACATACACAAAGCATCAGATCCAAGAACCAATTGCCCATCTCAAATCTTCCTTCGCAGCAGCAAGAGGTATGCAAATATTAACTTATTTTTACCCGTCTCTGCCCATTGCTTTTTTTTTTTTTTTTTTTTTTTGAGATGGAGTCTCACTCTGTGGCCCAGGCTGGGGTGCAATGGCATGATGTCAGCTCACCACAACCTCTGCCTCTGATTACAGGCACATGCCACCACACCTGGCTAATTTTTTGTATTTTTAGTAGAGACAAGGTTTCACCGTGTTAGCCAGGACGGTCTTGATCTCCTGACCTCGTGATCTGCCTACCTTGGCCTCCCAAAGTGCTGGGATTACAGGCCTTAGCCACTGCACCCAGCCTTCTTTAATTCTTACCATGTTCTTACCAGTTACATTTTAAATGAATTAACAAGGACTTCCATTTCCATATCTCTCCTGCTTGAATTCACGTACACACACACGCGCGCACACACACATGTAACCAGCAGGGACTTACACCAGGTTCTGCAGTTTACAGTCGGGGTAACTCAAGCCCTCACACAGCAATTGCACCCCTTTATCCCCAATGGGGTTCTTGGCCAGGCACAGGTGTGTCAGATGCTGGCTGAGAATCAAGACATCAGCAAGCTCCTTGCAACTGGCTTCTGTAAGACGACAGTTTTCCAACCTGCAAAAATATGAAACAAACGGTAACATGACGAGAACACTTCCAAAACTCCAACCTGCTCGCCATGTCCACATGCTAGGGTCCTCAGCGTCAGCCCTTCCCATTAATCCCCTGCCCTCTGTCCTGTGCTGGTCATCACAGCCACAAAAGACCAGGAATGCGAGAAGGCCAGGACGCAGTGGTCCACCTGGAACCGTCTCAGGAAGCAGGTGTTTTTGAGATGGAGCCTTCCTCTGTCGCCCAAGTTGGAGTGCAATGGTGCCATCTCAGCTCACCTCAACCTCCAACTCCCGGGCTCAAGCAATTCTCCTGCCTCAGCCTCCTGAGTAGCTGGGATGCACCAGACATGCGCAGCCACACCTGTCAATTTTTATTTATTTATTTATTTTTGAGACGGAGTTTCGCTCTTGTTACCCAGGCTGGAGTGCAATGGCGCGATCTCGGCTCACCGCAACCTC